CTGATCTAGATTGAGATCTGGCTAGGTCACTCGTGCACCTGTGAGTGCTCTCCATCAGCTCCAAGTCCTGCTTGTGCCTCTGCTGCACGCTTTCCAACAACATCTGGGCCTGATCCCGCTCCAGCTGCAGCTTCCGAACCTGAGACAGAGAGCAGCGCCCGTCACGGACCGCAGGGGCTGGCCGGAAAAAGCGCGGCAGAGGGGGCGGAAGGAGGGAGTGGAAGAGAGGGATGGAGAGAGGACAGACAACGGCAGACAGGCGAGACAGGGAAATAACAAGAAAAACTGACGATAAAAGCAGAAGAAGGGATCAAGAGAGGAAGAGGAAAGACAGAGGGAGGGAGAGTGAAAGGGGACAGCACTGCAGCACGGCTGAGGGGAACAGCAGATAAGCTGCAGGATACAGACTCGGTCTCGCCCCTGAGCGACAGTACCTGGCCCTCCAGCTGGATGAGGCGGGCTTCAGACACCTGCTCCCCAGGGTGCAGCTCGCCCTCCCTCAGCTGCTTCTGCAGGGCCACGCCCCCGAGCCCCCACAGCTGGGACTGCACCAGCTGGACACGCAAGACAACAAACTGTCAGACAACCCGGACTGCCACAGAGCAACATCCTATCTTTCCAGAGTGTCACTGCAGACTACATGCTTTCAGGGAACAAAAATAAAACAAGCATAAAACAAGCCAATAACCCTAATTGAATTGCAACAAAAATCACCCCAGAAAAACACAAGGCTCGTTAAACATCTGAACTGTTTCCAAGAGCTAATGATGTCTGACATCGTGATGTAGCCTTCAACAAAGAGGAATAACCCATTCTGGTTAATATTTTAACCGTTGCTAAAAATATCCCTTGTGGAATCTGTGTAACTAATTTTAACAAGAATCTAACCAAAGACAGCCGACAGTATTAAAAACAACAAAAACCACATTGTGCAAAAAGCACAACAAAAAGCGATTGTCACATTGCTTTGTGGATCAAACAATGCTATAATGCTCACAGTGTACTGTGGCCAGACCAGCTCTTTTCGTGGAGGAATATTCATGGACTAGATTATTATTACTAGATTTGGCTGTCTGACATTTGGACCCATTTATTCATCTGGGTATTTCACTGAGCTGATCTAAGTGAAGTGACTTGCCCAATGGAATAATACATCTGCTCTCAGCCACAATCTGAAAAACCATAAATAGAAGTCCAAGGCCACTACTCCACGCTGCATTCCTGACACCTCTTTTGGGGATGAGATTAGAGCTCTATTTAAACTTCAGATTTTCTTTATAGAATGAAAGCATACACCCCAAAGCCTGAGTGGTGCATATGTTAGAATAAAGTACCTGCTGCTGCAGCAGGAGCTGCTGAAGACTGTCTGCAGAGAGAGTCACCTGCTTTCAGGGAAGGGGGGGGGGCAGAGGAGGAAAAAAACAGGTTACTCTTCATACTGTGCCAGTTATATTTATATTTAATGCCTACATACGTTATTCAAGCTCATATATAAAGCTGAATATTGCATGAAGATAGTCCAGTGATATTTACTTATTCTATTGTTCCATTTATATCATCAATCAGACCACTGACCTTGATCATTTTAAAGAGGGCCCCTTATACTCTCTTTTACATGGCAATTACACGCAACAAGCCGCAGACACCTTCCTCTTTTCTGCCTTAGCAACACACCTGCCCTTAATAATGAGTGTCCCAGGGCAATCTACATGAGATCCCTTGGCGCCCAGAATTCCCTTACCTGGGGCATGGCTGCAGGGGTGTTGCCCTCAACCTGTCTCTGTGCTGGCACTAGGAAACAGCATGAAGACGCGTATATCATTCAGAGCACCTTCCCGTTACGTTTTTGTTACAAGACTCAACAAAACTAAAACTGGGTTTTTAACAATTGTGATGGCCAGTATCTGATCAACACATGAAAAAATGAGATGTCTGCTTAATACAAGAAAAACATGATCTGTCTCTGGACGGTTCCCCTTCCTATATCTGTGAAACAGTAGCTCATATTAACATGTCTCAAAATGCAAAATGATCTTTAAGTGCTTTTAAAACATACCAAAACTCTGAAAGGTGTTTATAAATTATATATATATAATAAGAATAAAGCAAAAACTAAAAACATAAACTACCAATATTGCAAACTGAGATACATCTCAAGAGACTACTGAAAGATTGCGTTTAATGAAGTAGGACTAGGTATCACTAGATAACACCACCTCACTATGACAGGCAGCAGGCATGAAGAGTTGCTAGGCAACAAATGCCATGGGTAGTTAGGATGAGAAATGGAGAATGTGGCCTAGTTGGCCATCCTGGTTCTTCCTGATCACATGGAGGATGCTGGGACTGTGGGAGACTACAGTGGCAGCAGAGAGGGGGAGAGTGGTTGCTGGACTGGCAGGAATTAGCTCTTTTACTTGCTTCAGGTGGGATTGTGGGGGTTCTGAAGGAGCATCAGGTAGGAGCCCAGAGGCAGTGACAGGCTGCTCAGGGCTACAACCTGCGTGTGATGAAGATGGAGAGCAGTTCCAAGAGGCAAGCTGTGTGCTACATTCAGGTCCTCCACCACCACACTGAGACAGATGCACCTGATCGGAGCAGGGAAGGATGAGCCCAGTGTACTGGGGGGTGCCCAGTTCCCTGTACATTCTCAGCAGGAAGCGGCACAGATGAGGGTGTGCTAGCAGGGTAAGGGGCGGCAGGAGAGCCAGTAGAGAAGTGCTGGACAAAGTAGGATATTCTTTCTAGAATTACATTAGGAATAGGGTTACAGGTTGTTATAGCTGCCCCAAGACATACAAAACTTTAATGGTAGTTACGAGTGAGGGGGACCATGCACCAGTGCAGTGAAGTAGTCATGTGCCGAAGGCTGGAGAACAAACTGAAGTGTTAACTACTAGCTGATGACTAGACAAGTACTGAAAATTGTTGGTTTACAAAATTACACAGAAAAACGAATGGAACTGAAAAGTACATTTGTTTCACAGAACCAAACGTGTTTGTTGTGCCGCCTTGTACTGTAGGTTAGCTGCTGAGACAGAGGGAGCCAGTGGAGACTGTACCTGCTTTGGGCCGGTCTTCTCTCCCGGGGGCAGCAGGAGGAGGAGGAGGGGGCGGCGGGGTGGTCTGCCTGCGAGGATTCTCCCACGGCAGCGGAGAACTTGATGCAAATAAAAAAAAACAAAAATGGTCAAACTTGAAACATGAGCTTTTCTTTACCACCTAGCTGGAGCTCGAACCTGCACCGCGTCAATACAATCTAAACACAGGGGGTCGCCAGGCGTCATGAAGGAGCTGTAACCCCAGCACTGTCCTCTGCAATGACAGACGGACAAGGCCATGTGGGTTTACACATCGTGCCTCCCCTGGTACGCCAAGATAGACACTCAAACAAATCTTCCCAGTGGTAGTAAAAGTTTAAAAGCATTCCGGCTACATTTTAAGAATACCAAACATGTGGATCTTCATTATTTTACTTTGCAGGTCAGTACTATCAAACCCTCTTGTTCTGAACCCCAGTCCCCTCTTACCTGTGTTCCTTACTGGGGCCTGGGGACTCCTCTGCTCCTCTTCTCACTGCTGGAGAGGAGCTGCGCTTGCTGAGGAAATGAAATCAATCACTCAGTACCATCAGCTATCACACAGGGAGAAGCAGAATGCAGTAATAATAACACAACTACATAATAATGCACAGCTTCATTATTATTATTCATTAGGCAGCAGTTACATCGCCCTGCAGCTCACCACTGGCAGCCCAATGGAGCTCAGCAGGTGTGAGCCTGGCCAGTACCTGCATGGGAGACTCCTGGGAAAAATAAGGCTGCTGCTGGGAGAGGTGTTAGTGGGGCCAGTAGGGGGCGCTCACCCTGTGGTCTGCAATGCCAAAGTGAGGGGCGGAAAAAAAATTAAAAAGGCGCTGTCCTTCGGACGAGGTGCAAAACCAAGATCCCGATTCTACATGGAATTTAACAATTCCAGGGAGTTTCTCTAAAAGAGGAGGAAAAATTTTGTCCTGGCTAAATTTCCCCCCGGCCTTTACCAGTCATGGCCTCCTAATAACCCCCCTCTCTGAACTGGCTTCATCACTCTGCTCTCGTCCCCACCGAGAGCTGGTGTGTGTGAGAGGACTGGTGCACTCTGGCTGCCGTCGCATCATCCAGGTGGGGCTGCACACTGGTGGTGGAGGAGGGGATCCCCATTACCTGTAAAGAGCTTTGAGTGGAGCGTCCAGAAAAGTGCTACATATATGTAAGGCACTAAATAAGAATATCTCTACGATCCCAAACATACTTCATTTCCTGCTGATTTGCACCTGCAGCTCACTACACTAGACAGGTTGAGGACTTGCAAACCGGATTAAACTGAAATTTAAGCTCCTGCTCCAGACTCTCAAGACGCACACAGCTCTGGAGCTCTTTCCTAGCATACCCGAGAAAGGTGTCAAGGTCCACTTCTTCTCCGGGCCCCAGGAAGTCCTGCTGCCCAGTCTTCTTGTTGTCGGCCCTGACCACACCCGGACTCTTCTTCCGGGTCAAAGTTCCTGCCAGCCAATCCTCCTCCTCCGGAGGGGCCGATGCCTCAGGCCTGCGTGCTGGTTGGCTGGTTTTAGCACTAGAGGGAGAAGCTGAGGGGGTGTCGGTGGCCTTGGCCCCAGAAGGGGGGCGGCTGGCTGATATGGGGGTCCTGTTCCCCACTGAGGTGCTAGGAGAGACGGGGGGTTTCAGACTTTCCAATGCAGGCTCCTCTACTTTCTCCTCCTCTTCCTGCTTGAGCCCCAGCCAATCCGCTGCCGTCTTATTGGCACGTGGCGTTCCTGGGGTGGGAGGCTTGGATTTCTTGTCTGGCGACACCCCACTGACGTCTTCAGTAGAAAACCTGACGTATTGACAAGAAGGGAGTAATGAATGTGAAGTGTTTCTTCAAAGACTCAGTCGGGTTTCCAGCTCTGACCCACCCAATAGGTGCTTGCAATGTAAAGCAAGAAGAGCTATTCACAGCTATATGCAATTGTTTATGTGAGATATCACTGTTATGACACATTAATAAGCATATTACTATCCTAAAATAATACATAGGAAATGTATCTCATGCAGTATTTATATCCTGAACAAACAAAGGCTAGGTTGTAATCCAGTGAGTTATAGTTATAGGAGTATGAACCCATATACAGTACCAGCTTGGCGTCCGAAAATACATTTACTTGTGATTCTATTTGTAATCTGGACTGGACTGGATTGTGCCTGGGCGTTTCACAGCCAGATACCCCTGAAGCATGTGAAATAGCTCAGTTTTCAAATTCACAGTCATTTCACTTTGGGACCGCATGAAATATTCGAACTGTGTGGCCTGTCTGTCACTGACCTGACTGACTGCCTGCGAGACTGCCTGCCTTCTGGGGTGGATGCCATTGTGGGCATGTATGAGCCAAACATGAATTCGTCTTCCCCTAAAACAGGTTCTGAAAAAGAGCACGCTCATTAATACAGGAAAATGATTTCTCTACATGACATACTGTAACAGTGTGGATATACAGAAGAAGCTCTTAATGGCCAGGCCAGAGAAGTAATTTAATAATACACCACTGTAATTCAGCAGAATGCCATCCGAGTTTATTCAGTGCAATTCACTTAAAAGATTCACAGTATTCAGACAGGAGTGTTATAAGAATCACAAAAGATACATTACAAAGTTAATAAAACAAAATTAGTACAAATGAAAGCAAGAAACATTTAAGATTGCAATTCAAATGCTCTGTTTAGCTTTTCACCATATATTATGTACAACGGGTCTATTGAAAGGACATATATGACAGTTACCTTTCACAGTGGGATTCTTTTCTGCTTGCAGTTCTTTCTTCTCACCAGTAGGGGGGCGCTCTAGGAGGCGAGGGGCTGTCCCTCGTCCCAGGATCTCATCGAGCTTGGTACGGGCAGGCTGTGGGTTGTCACTGCAGGGTGGGGGAAGGAAGGCAGGTTGAATTTGTATTTCAATTTATTTTCAGCAAAGACAACTTACAAAACAATGTGATGCCACAAAAAAACGTGCATCTTGCACATATTATCTCCGAGTTAAGACTGAAGAGAAAGGGAGTGGCGTCACCGTTGTGTCTTTCTTTCCAGCACTCCTCCTCTGCCCCTGGGACTCTCGTCAAAACCGAGCGCGTCTATCAGCTCGTCTCCGTCCTCGTCGAATGTCAGCTCGTCGCGCTTCTTCGGGTGAGAGCCCGTCCCAGCAGGGGGCGCTACAGGTAGACAGACAGACTGGCAGAGTCAGGCAGACAAGAACAGGCAAGAGGGTCTCAAGCAACAATCGCAAAAGGTCCAACTACGCAAAAGTCTGCAGAACACTTCGCTGTAATTAAAACTAAAACTTCTGGCTTTCTTGGAACTTGCAAACAGTGCAGTCTACAGTGGTAGAGGCGAGTTCAGTATCACGTGGGCAAAGCAATCGTGCCAGGCCACAAAGCACAAATATCAGACTGACCTGTCTCCTCCTTTTTGGTGCTGGGTGCCTCAGAGGCAGATGGACCAGCTTTCCTATCAGAGTCCTTCCTTTCTCCTGGGAGGTCATCCAGAAGGCCTGAAAAAGGATCATCGGTGTCTGCAGACAGGGGAGTAAGAGGAATCTTGTCAAATTGACACCCACAGAGACATGCACTAATCTGAAGAACTACAGGGGTGTACAAATCTCAGTTAACAAAGTCATTGAAGGCACTGTTATATTGTGTGTAACTGTGTAATCAACACTTTTAGACACAGGCAAATTAACATGGCACTGCAAAATTTGGTTTTGGAATATACCTCTCTTGTTGGAAAGTAATCCTCTATAATTTCTAGTGGATCCTAATAAGACAAGAATTTTACTTATTAAGTATTTGTTTAAGCAAAAGGAAGCAGAAGACTTCAAAGATGACAAATAAAAGGTTCAGGTGACGTGAAAAACAATTGTGCTAATCATCAATATCTGTAGTTACACTAGTGAATTAATACCTTTTCTGCCAGGATCTGAGCTGTTAATGTCATCATCATCTATGTCAACACATAGAGAAAGGAACAGGAAAAAAGCAAATAAGGATACTTGGAACCAAACACACAAAGACTGAGGAAAATAAGTCAAAGAAAGAGAAATTGCAAAGCCTAACAAGAACACAGAAGGAAGCACTTCATTATTATTAACTCTATTAATTAAATTCTAGGATAACTTTTGCAGTGCAAAGAAATACTTTCAATTAAGCCCACAGTTATGGGTCAATTAGAAATATAGAGAAGTGTCAGTGATTGGACTTTAAACCTCTGAATGTGTTAGCTTTTTTTTTTAACAGCTGCAATTAAACACGGACACCCAAATAGCATTTCAACCTATATCTGTTTTGGATATAAATAGCATCCAATAAATAAAAAGCTTACAGAAACATATTTCAAGTCACATACATCTGAAGGACCACTGCCAGCACACAATTGGGCTGAAAGGGCCAGTTGAGTACACGCTGTAACCTGTCTCTCTTGTGCAAAGTCGCTGGATTACAGAGTACCCTGCTCCACTGCGTGGGGCTGTGGGGTGGAAGTGGATTTTGCTGAGAGGTCTGGTTACGGTGGTGTGGACTAATGAAACCATGACTCACCAGCGAAGCTGAACTTCCTGTATCCACGGGCTGAGGCAGCAGGAGCCGAGCTAGACTTCCTGTCTTCGGTACCGGTGTCTTCTGGACAGAGACAGAGCAGACAGAGCTGGGTGAGACACCCTGGAGCGGGCTCAAACCATGACAGCCCTCCGGGGGCATCAGCAGGTTAACTAATGCACCAGCACTTGTGGAATTACTACCGAGCGATTCTGACAGCCTTTAAAATCCAGAGACAAAAAAAAAGAGGAATTTTAGAAATACCAGGTGTTGAAAAACTAAAGGCAAGTCAAGAAAGTGCTTTTCGCCCAGTTCATTCCAGTGCTCCGAACCTAATGGGTTCTTGAGGGACCCCCGTTCTGAGGCTCAAGCCCTCCAGGCACACACCTGTTTCGCTGACCCTCAGTCTCTCTCCAGGTTTGGGGGACTCCTCCAAATTCTTCGGACCCCGAATTCCAGAGCCCCTCCCACCAGCCTGACTAGGGGCGGAACTCGGCTTCTTCTTCGTACCAAAGAGATCGGCGTCCATGTCGTCCATGTCCTGCCCAGTAACGACAGTGCTGAGAGCTGGCAGAGAAAACCCGCCATTTCGTTGTCACAGGAGACCTCTTTCATTCCGCCCTGCTGAGGGAAGCGGTGCCTAATCTATGCGCCGATTCTACTTTCGCCTCGATTTCACTGATGCCGTGGAATGATTTTTTTTTTTAAATGAGGAATTTCCAAAAATTCCATTAAGATAGCAGCAGGAAACAACCCGTCCTGACCTTGTTTCGGAATTGAAAAAACAGGCACAGCAGTGCAACTCCGAGTGGGGAAAAAAAGCAGATCTGTTTGTACCTTCATGCTACCTAGTAAAGCCAAGGGATCAGCCTCCGAGACGTCAGACACCTACAGGAGAAACAAAACGCACAAGATTAACTACAACTGAGACCCAGGAGTCACAGAGGGGCTGAAGAATACATTAAACCAGACACACAGACACAAGGACTCTACAGGGCCTCCGGAAAGGCCCTCGCCTCAACACACCTCATCATCCTTCTCTGCTTCCTCCGCCAGCTTGCTGAAAAAGTCATCATCCAGCAAGGACCTGGAAAACAAGAGTCGACCGGCATTGGAGGTGCCACTGCGAAGGGTTACGACTGTCAATCTGCACACAGAACCTTTGCAGCTGCCCCATGGTTTTACCAGGGTGAGGCCATGAATTGACCTCGCTCTCCCAGGCTGTGCCACGCTTTACCAAACTCTCTCATGATCTCACTACACTTACCCTGCTTTAAGCACTGCACACCACAATCAGCTAGTGTAATCCCTATATAATGTAATATAAATAGGATAACATTACTATATAATACTTAGTATACAAACACTGTTATAGTTAGTAGAATTTATAGCATTAGCATTAGTCCTAAAAAAGGTGCCGTCCACTGGATGAGACAAAAAAAAAAAAATGAAGGTCCTGACTCTCCGTGGTCACTAAAAGTCCCAGGGTGTTTCTCAAAAGGAGTAGGTGTATTACTCCAGCGTCCTGGCCAAATTTCCCCCTGGTCTTTACCAGTCATGACCTCCTAATAATCCCCCTCTCTGAACTGGTTTCATCACTCTGCTCTCCTCCCCACTGAGAGCTGGTGTGTGGGGAGCGGACTGGCGCACTCTGGCTGCCATCACATCACCCAGGTGGGGCTGCACACTGGGGGTGGTGGAGGGGAGACCCCATTTCCTGTAAAGCTCTTTGAGTGGAGGGTCCAGAAAAGCGCTATATAAGCGGAGGGAATGATTGTTAAAATCGCGGTGCAACGGTGCGTCCCGGCGCTCACCGTTTACCGCCGTGGGAAGGCGGGGCCCCCCCTCTCCCTGGCCCCAGTGCTCGGGCTGGGGTGCGGGTTCTCCTCGGAGGGTCGCCTGGAAAGGTCAAGAGGAAGAGGCAGGGTGGCGTCAGTCCTTGAGGAGCAAACACTGATCACTGCGCAACAAGTGAATCGATACAACCGCATTCAGGACCTGTTATTGCTGCTGCTAGATATGCGTTTCCTTATGCAAATCCATGTCGTGTGCCGAATGTGTGTGTGTTCTGCCGGGCCTGCTTGTTCTCGTTCTGGTTCTATACCGGTAATAATGATAATCAGGGGTGAGGACTGTACAAACTATGGGTGACTGGGCTTTCTCCTGCTGCGCCCCACAGCTCTGGAATTCCACCCCTGAGGATATCAGCGAGTCCCCTTCCCTGGGCTCCTTCAAATCCAGGCTTGAAAACCCTCTTCTTCAGAAGGACTTTAATTTAACGGATTCTGTGTTGCTTTCCCACTCTATTCCAAATCCTTACCGTGAGGGTGTCATTCTGCTGTCTCCTCTCATTGCCGGCTTTTTTTTTTATTTTATTGCTGCAAGAAGCACTTATTATTTTTATCAAGACTGGGATTGAATGAACAAGCACAACTGCACAACGGCAACAGCCTCAGCGGCCTCTACAAGGTCTGACTAAAACGCGTTGGTCATGGTAGAAATAAGGGTCTGGTCAGGCTGACCACACGGCCGTACGTACCGTCATCGGCCAAGAGGTCGCTCAGCACGTCATCGAAGGCACCTGGACCACCAGAAAAATGCCGTTTTCAGTCTCGCCATACATCGGCACAGCGACCCACAGTAATACGCACGTAGATTAAAATGATTTTTTTTAAAAAAAACTCACCCTTAGATGTTTTCTTCTGCTTTGAAGCCTGCGAATTCAAATGAAACAGATTTATCTCTGGAGATGTTGAGATGGCCACCGTGGCTCGGCTGTCACCCACACCACACAGTGCTGATGAAAGCAGAGGAGGGAGTCTTTGAATACCAGACTCCCTGGGACAGTATCAGAGAGAAACCGGGGCGACACGTCAGGTAATTATTATTTCACAAACGGTGTGTGAGCCCCCTACAATTTGCACCTCCTGTATTCATTTGTTGCGCACCGGTTCCGGTGTCGACCGCGGTCTGGTACCATTTTCACTGTTCGTTTAACTGTGCCAAGTTAGGTGGATCAGGCGAGGTGGTTAGTTAAAGACAAGGTAGGAAACGTAGATTTTATTTTTCGATAAACTTACCATACCGTTGGGCTAAGCACATCCCGGCGCGAGCGAGCGTCGCCCCGTTACCATTGGTAACCACGCCGAGCTCGCGAAGCGCCGCTTGCAGACTGTCCGGCTCCGTCGTCAACTGTCACCGCATTTTCCCCCAAACCCCTGCCCTCGGGCGCCTTCCACGAAGGCTAAATCCAGCTACTCTCCGATTAAAACGCTGACAACAAAAAAAAAACCGCGGTGGTTTTCGCCGGGAAGTTTGGACGCTGTCGCTGTTTATGCGACGGAACCGCATTAAAAGACAATATGGCCGCCACGGCTCGGATCATAGAGATAAGAGAAATTCGAAAGATGGAATTTCCGGTGTAAATCGGGCCGCCATCTTTGTAGGGGGAAAACGATGAGATTCCGCAATTCCGGTGGATTCATTCCACAAAGTTAACGAAACCCTGCTCCTACATGCGGTTACTGCGCCGGTACAGATCTACAAATTGTCGCTCTTACCCCCCCAAAAAATAATTAAAAAGTTATTTTAACGCTCCAACTATATCGGCTCATCCTTTTCTTCGTTGGAGAGCTAGCCTTTCGTCCTCAACCGTTGCTCCACCAATTTTGTTATCCTACTGTATGTGCGGTATAATGTAACAACCCTCTGAATTATACCAGCGCCGCTGATCATCCGGAACGGCTGTACACTGTGTGAAGTTGCCCAGCTAACTGTGAAATAGTTATCCCCCTTTATACCTGTGCCCACTTTCCACCCTATCCCAGGTACCTGTACCCGAAATGACCCTAGTGTGTTGGGAGGGGGTTTGCTTTGTCTCAGTTCTTGTGTGGTTGTTGCTGAGCCGTTACAGCTCGACAAAGATGCGCATCTGCAGACACATGAACTTGCAAGACCTCACCTGTGACAGAATACCTCACCGTTCAGGAAGAGGGGAGAATGACCAATAGGTACGAGGTTATCGAGGAGTGCTGAACTATCAGACATCCGCGGAAAACACGGGACATTTAACCCCCCTGAACAGAGGATAGCGCCCTCAAAAACAGACAAGTCCTGCAAAACCTCTACATGCGGTAACCATAGACGTAAGAGTTGTGCGAGACTTTTTCATCTTTGAACAGCGAGTGCGAGGTTTTTGGGTGTGACAAACGGTTCTTTTAGTCAATACACGGGTTTTAATTTTTCGGGAAACGGCTGAACGCGAGCCTGAAGTCAATTAGCTAATAACTTGTACATGGGACAGATGGCAATGTACTCGTCTGTAATCTTTGCTGTTCTCATCACCCCAAAACAGGCTTGAACACTGCAGTAATCCCGTTTAAGAGCCGGTAATAATATTCATCAGCAACACATGGCGTCCTAATGCCTGTAAAAAAAAAGAGAGGACTGACGTTTTAATTGTAACTTTTCTTTATTAATGCAAATAATGTCATCAAGACTACGTGATTAAAATGATTTATTTTTAAATTAAATATCAGTAACCCATGAAATGTGACCCTAGATTTTTATTAACATGTTTTAAAAACAAAATCTTAACCACTCTGGGGCAACAAATCAAGCTCTCAGAATTACATAAACAAGTCACTGAAGACTTTGTGAATGACAGGCTAGAAAGAGTCAGGATTCAAAGAGGTGAGGAAGCAGAAGGAAAAATAACCATAAAAATGACTGATTAAAAATTCAAAATGTAACTAATGAAACCATGATTCTCACCAGAGAAAGGATGAAGTTCACAATTTGACACAAACGTCTGTTAGTCAGAAATGAAACCGTCGAGACTACAAAAACAGGTTGTTCTTTTTAATAAGCTAGGGCTTAATGTTTCCCCAATAATCAGTGAGGAACAGTTTGTGAGATCAGCCTGGCTTTTCACTACTTAAAAAGTAATATCTGAGGCACAAGTCGTTCTGTGTTTACTGGGTCATCACAACACTGCATAACCAATTCCTCTTTAAAAACACCTGACTCTCAATGGCAAGAGTGGCATCACTTTCTAGATCATTAATGTAGTGTTTAACAATACGGGGAAAAAAGGTTAAGACAATATTCTTGTGCTGAAAGAAGAGTCTGACATCAGTTGTACTGTTTAGGTCTGAGTTTTTGTTTTTGCTCTGTGCAGCATGGTAAGTCAATGTAAAATTACATGTGAGAAACAGTTCTTCACACTAAAAATGTGTTGAACGGAAAAGGTTTTCACTTTAAAGGTTGTTTAAACTGTAAAACCCTCCTCCATTTTCATCATTGTCTTCCAAACCCCCACTGCTACATTTCCCAATCGCTTAGCAACAAAGGCGACGCACATTGTAACGTACAACTCTTTCAGCGTTTCCGTGGTTGCGCTGAATTCCTGGATGATGTTATCTTAACATCATTGGGCACCTGAAGGCGCCACAGCTGAAACCTAGTGTCTCTTTTCTTTTCCTTTCAGCATGGAATTAACCTCTACCTGTTCCTTTGCAGCCTACACATGCTGACGCAGCTCCCTACTGGAACTATCTCAATTAAACACTGTTTTCATAACATAAAACAAAAGAGCTCACAGTAATATACAACCTTGTATATTACTTGTATAGGAAAATGTCACTCCAGATGGTGTTTCCTAGATATCTTCCCCTAACACTTCAATTCCCATTGAATCTATTGTTATTAAGAGATTTCCATGATCCAGGATTCTTCAGGAACTCAACTATCATGTTACTGCAGAATGGACTGTATTGCACATTTATCGGAGCATGCCTGTGAAAATACACCATGTCTAGATAAATGAGCTCACATGAAAAGGCTCAGTGAAACCTTGCAGTAGCTGCATCAGCTATGAAAACAGTTAATCATTTCACATTTAATTACCCAAGATGAATCTCAGGACACTGCCCTTAAATGATCAAAATGGCTTAACAAGCTGCACAGTTAAGTGTTAAGACAAAGGTTGTGATCATTGCAAATCCATTTAAAACGTGCTCCTCATGTCCAGGGCAACTCAGCAATATTTCCAAAGAAATATTTCCTATTGCTTTGGACATACATGTTAAATCTGGTGAGACAAGTAGTCATGCCAGATTTAACACTTCTGATAGAAATCTACAGCCCAAACTACTGAAATTCTCCAATCCCAGACCAGATAGTTAAACTGGGAAAAGCCTGTCCAAAACCTGCTTCCTGTCCAGAATAGCAGAACGTTTATGAAATGTTAATTTTATTCGTTATTACAAACTTTAAATACCAAAAGGAAGCTGCAGCAGGTTTAAGAGGCGTTTCCTGTCCTTAGGTCTTATACCCTCACTCTCAGCGGAATGCATGTTCAAAATGATCAGAATTATACCCGGAAACAGAAATTCAACTGGCCATTTGAAGAAACAAAAAAAACCAACAGAAGAATGATTTAGGAACAAAGAACGTAATTGAAAGGATAAAAAGGCAGGTACAGCAGTGCGCTTGAAAAAACAAGAGAGAAAGGTGCTTTGATTTCAAGGTGTGATCTCACTGGTCACAGTGCTTGTTCTTCCTCCCCATCTGCAGTAACAGAAGCACCATGGGCTTCTGGGAATTATAGAAAAAATACAAGAGGGGGCCGCTGGCTGCTCAAGACAACTTCCAGTTCCAGGGGCAGACGGCTTCCAGTCCAGGTTTGTTCGCTTCTTTGATGACGTTGTTGCTAGGGCAACATCCTGATGGAGGGGATTCTGTGCCGTCTGCTGCAGACCTCGCACTGGGCAGCTCAGAGCTTGGAGTGCAGGGGTTTCAGGTATTTGTGGTAGGATTCATGAACCTGAGAAGCAAGAGGAAGCACACTCAGCACAGCCGTGAGTCCACTGCCTTAGCTCAGGCTTAATTTCACCTCACTCCACTACAGCCAGCTCCTCACTGCGCTCAACAGACTGAAGCGCTAGACAAGGTTTTCCCAGGTCCTCCTACAAACTGCAGGGATAGCGCAAGACATGTTCATAATTACACGTCTCAGGGTTATTACAGTCTCAAACTAGCATGCAACAGGAATTGTATCCACCCCCGTGTCAGCAGCTCCGTGAAAAGGCACACCAAACGAAGCCAGTTTGCATCATTTAGTCAAAATACATACACAATGTCTGTTGTGTTTCTCCAAGTTCAAAATGCGTTTTTGGAAACCAGGCCATAATATGCACTCCTTTTAAGCTGCTATGATGTATTGCATCACAGTAGTAGGACAGTCCCCATTACTTTGTCCCCATACAGCACTAAGCTCAACATGCTGTGATGCAGTGACAGAAATGCATGCCACAAATCATACGCTCACGTTCAAATTCCTCCCACAGTAGACAAGACAAGAGCCAGTAAATAATCAGTCTGAGAACCATTCAGCTCAGAAACGCCACCTGCACAGTCCTCCCACCCAGGCCCACCCAGCGACACCGACCTGCTCGCTGTTCAGCGGCGACTTCTTGGCCCACTCAAACATGTTCTCGTAGACGTTGCCGTCGTAGCGCCCGAGGACAGAGTTCAGCATCTCGTCGCGGTAGTCGAAGGCGTCCGCCAGCGCCACCGCGTTCACCCTGATCTGGGCCAGCAGCTCCTTCACCTGCTGGGAGGCCTGGGCCACCTGAGGCACGCTCAGCAGCCCGGCCTGCGGGGGAGGGGGGGCAGCAGACGCACAGGGGTCACACACCGACACGCCCCTGCGCCCCAGCGCTCACACACTCGAGCCCGACGCGCACGTGGGTCGCGGCGGTACGTGACACAGGATTACAGGGGAACTGCAATGCCGTTTTTACATTTACAGGGTTATAGTGAATCGGCAGTGATGAGCATATTTCCCACCACCATGAAACTACCAAGTACACAGTAATGTGTAAAACCTCCAATCTTCATCACAAAAGAGACCACGTTTCCATGTGTGCCTGGCGCCATACTGCGATAATTGTCTGCGGTTGACAATGAGGCAACAAAGTGCCCGACAACGTACAGTAAAAGCGTCCCTATTGGATTGTAAACATGCTTCAGGCCAAGCAAATGTTGCTACTATATTAATAGTAAATATTTCATGTTTTTTAGATACTTTTAAGTATTAATAATAATAATAATAATAATAATAATAATAATAATAATAATAATTGCTTACACTTATATAGCGCTTTTCTGGACACTCCACTCCACTCAAAGCGCTTTACAGGTAATGGGGACTCTCCTCCACCACCACCAATGTGCAACATCCACCTGGATGACGGATGCTGCACATTGGTATTGCAGAAAAAGAGCAAACTGCCACCCAACTAAAATACATTCATAGTAATTAACGTTGGTAGGAGACCGTGTCTCTCATTTGCTTCCAGAGACTGGTGAGCGGGAAGGGCCGTTTTCACGTTACGATTCGCGCACGACTCTCTCGCTCTCGCCCGCTGCCAGACCAGCGGTTTCCGGCCGCCGCGATAGCACGGCGACTAGACAGCGCTCTCTCAGAGTTTCACGATTTTACGCTCGATTCGTCATCGGCAAAAGCGATGAATTTATTTTGTTACTGAGAAACCTGGACGGCGGCTCCCCTTCGAGCCCTGCGGAGGCAGGAGGCGGGTGGCGGGTGGCGTTACCTGCAGGAAGTCCCCAGAGTGCACGGTAATGCCATGCAGAGCGTAGAGCAGGGCGAGGGAGCCGAGGACGGAGTGGACAGCCGTGTCGCCCACCTCGCCGAGCTTCGCCGTGAACAGCTTCACCACCACGTAGTGACAGTGTGCCTGGGGAGGAGAGAGACCGAGGGGCGGGGGGGGGGGGGGGAGAACATCAAGTCATTCGAGGCCATCCAAGGCAGGGCGCCGAGCACTGGAAACGCTCACTTACATCGGACGCTCTGACCAGGTCAATGGCGGCGCCGTTCCAGGCTTCCTCCTTGCTCTTGCGCCTCTGCAGCTCCCCCTGGAGGCTCCTCGCTGCCATTTCCACCAGCCTGTTACAGACACACGGGGGCGCAGATTGGAGCCCAACTATCATTTCACAGTACCGGCGCACCACGGTGATTTAAAAAAGTAGATTTTTTGTGGCCGCAGAAAAGAGGACCCCCTCTCTCGCTGTCTCTCTCTCTCTCTAAACCTGCAGAAACAAATTTAAACGAAGAGGGTTTGTTTTCCAAGGAGGCTTTTGTCTGCTGGGAGGAATGATGCCCCTCGATCTGTATTTGGTTCCGCAACGTTAAGATGAATAAATATGTGTCCAGAAAGAAATATTGCCTCCGTTCCATTTTTTTTTGTCAGCAGCTCTGCGTCTTGCACTTCCACGCCACACCCGTCCCTCGATCGGGGCGTTCTCCTCCACTCACTTGGCGGCCCGCAGCTTGTAGGCCTCCACCAGGCTGGACAGGTCACTGATGTTGACCACGGTGGGCCGGGAGGACACCTGCTGGGGCTGCAGGCGGCGCTGGGACATCTCGCTCAGGTAGGACACCGTCCCACCCACCTGCTCGCCCGCGCTGGCCTGCGTGTAGCTCTTCACCAGGTACCTGCGGGCACAGAGGGAGACGGAGCGATGACGAGGGGGGTGGAGGAGGAGGAGGAGG